AGAAAGGAGAGGGAGGTAGTGAAGACAGTGGCCCACCAGCAGGCAGACAACAACGTCTTCGAACCTACATACATGTGGATATGCACAGAATAATCCCTCTATTGTTAACTCGTTTAATTCTGTGTCTGCTTTCCATTCTTGCTGGTGGAATCCCAACTCTCAAAGAGGCTGTATCAAGCAGCTTAGATAAAGATGAAACATAAACGTGTACATATTCAGATGACCCACACGGTGAACTTACAGTTGCATACTGTAACTTCCTGGAAGGAATACTCCATGATTCCTGTGACAGTGACACCATCATTATTCCATCTGAGGTGTCATCTTGAAATAAAATGACTGTGAGATTTAAAATGGGTCTTGTTTAGATTCACTTTACCCTCCCTGCTTTGCTTCCTCCCCCTCTCCCTCACCCTCTCTCTCTCACCTTACCTCCCTCCCTTTCTCCCTTTCTCCTTCCCTTCCTGCCCCCTCCTCCCTTCCTCCATCCCTCCCTCTCTCCCTCTGCCCCTGGCTCCCTTCCTTCCTCCTTCCTTCCTTCCTTCTGTGCTGGAGATCAAACCAGGAGCTTGTTCCTACCAGGCAATGACTCTACCACTGTGCACTTCCCAAACTCTCCACATTTGTCATACTCCTACAGATGAAACAGAAACTTCCACATTCACTAGCAAGTTGACCTGTGTTTGTTTATTTAGCTATTATTTATATTCTTGTTCTTAAATTTATTGTAAAGGTTATGAACACAGGGTTATAGTACATAACTAAGGTAATGGGTACATTTCTTTTTAAACACTGGCCTGTGTATATTTAAAGTGTGAGTTTTAAGCTTCTCTGAAAGTCCTGAATTGTACTTCATTGTATTAATTTGCATGAGTTTTAAGTGTCACAATGTGCTTCCAACTCAAATAAACTAGATTTTTCTTATTTGTCCATTTTGTGAGTGCAAAACCTAAGCATCAACAGTGATAATTGCCTCCAGGCGCCGGAGGCTCACACCTGTAATCCTAGCTATTCAGGAAGCAGAGATCTGAGGATCCCAATTCAAAGCGAGCCTGGGCAGGAACGTCTGTGAGACTCTTATCTCCAATAAACTATCCAGAAAACCAGAAGTGGTATAGTGGCTCAAGTGGTAGAGCACTAGCCTTGGGCTGAAGAGCTGAGAGGGACAGCGCCCAGGCCCAGAGTTAAAGCCCCATGTCTGACCAAAATAAAAAGTGATATTTGCCAATGATATGCATGGAGGACAATCAGAAACTTTTCTCTCTTATTTGCCAGTACTGAGCTTTGAACTGAAAGCCTTGCACTTTCAAACTAGGCTTATTCTCTGCAACTGAGCCATACCTCTTCTCTGTACTAAACTTTTGTGTTACAGGCATCTAGAAAGTCAATCTTTCAAGGACTATATTTAACATTTGGAGATGATTTGACTACTCTGGACACAGACAACTTTGATTACAGCACCAAAAGAAAAGTCTGTTATGTATTGGCTATGTGCTAGCTGCTGCCTCATTACTTATTGTTATCTGTGTGTTTCCAAAGTCTAGAATATTGCATGTATAATGTCATTGATATAATTTTATTAAACCATCACATGATGAACAATAGCCTTTAATATAATGCTTGGGGTGTTTCAAGTCATAGGATTTCATGTATAGAATCTCAGAATTACCTCTGCATAGCTTCACAGAGGCAACATTGAAGTGAAACAGGCAGAATCCCTGTGGGAGGGGGCACAGAGGAAAGTCTCATAAGTGATAAGGGTTGTATTCCTTGAGCTGGGTTGTATAGTTCCTACCTGTAACCCCATCTGTGGGAAAGAGGTTGGTAGAAAGAGCACAGTCTACAGGTGACCTGGGCAAATAGACCCAATCTGAAAGCTAAAGCAAAAGGGGCCAGGGGATTGAGTCAAATGAGAGAGCATTTCTGTAGCAATTGTAAGGTCCTGAGTTCAAACCCCATTCAAAAAAAAAATCCCAAGAATTCTTTTTAAATAATGAAGATCCTTTGCCAAATCTCCTCTTCAAACTAAAGCATCTAGATTGGAGTAGCCAGCACATGAGCGCGAAAGGTTGCAAGAGCATGGGATCAGGGGGTCGCCACCCACCTTACACTTTGCCTGTATTTGGGAGCTCTGTTGCCTACAACTTCTTGTCCGGGAGGATACTGAAGACTCAAAGTGAGTCTTGTGCTCTTTTCAAACAGGAGGGTTGCACTGGCACCTGACACTAACATAATCTAAAAGCAGTCAGGAGGACCATTCCTAACAACAATGTTTTTTCTGGTCAAAGGCCATTATTGAAACCACAAACTGCATCTCAGAAATACAGTCATTTTGTTTCCGTTTCAGCAGCCTGGCTGCCAAAGCTTGGTATCTGTGGGCTCTGAAGACTCCCCTCCCTATCATCCTCCACCAATAGCTGCTCACAAATTCATCAATTAAAAATATTTATTTTGGGGCTGGGAAGGTGGCTCAGTGGTAGAGCGCTTGACTTGCATGCCTGAGTCTCTTGGTTCAATTCCTCACCACCACATAAACAAAAAGAAAAAAGCGGGAAGTGGCGCTGTGGCTCAAGTGGTAGAGCGCTAGCCTTGAGCTGAAGAGCTGAGGGACAGCGCTCAGGCCCAGAGTTCAGGCCCCAAGACCGTACCCCCCAATATATATATATATATATATATATATTTATTTATTTATTTATTTATTTTATATCTTGGGTAACTGTTTCCCTTAAGCTCTTTCATCTGAAGGATTATTAGTTTTGGTGTGGTTTACTTGGTTCATTATTCATCTCAATAGTGATCTGCTTATAATTTGAGGCAAGGTAAGACTTCCCAGTTTTTCTGATGATCTGAATGGAATATATTTGATGTTTCAAGTTAAGTTTCATAACCCCTAACAGACAATAAGGTCAATCAATATCAAAGCATCAATTACCTGAATACTCTTTTTTTATTATTGTGAAAATACCATACAGAGGGGTTACAATTACATGGGTAAGGTAATGAGTACATTTCTTGTCAAGCATTGTTGCCTCCTTCTTTGTTTACTCTTCCCATCCCTTCCCATCCCTCCCCTCTCCCTGGTCTTCCTCCCAGTTACCCCCTGTGCCAAAGTTGTAAAGTTTGTTTTTCGACATAATGACTTGTACATCTCATTGTTGCAATGGGTCAGACTGTATCCTTATTTAAACAATTTATACCAACATCAAATACAAAACAGGGGTTATACCATGGGGGAGGGACATACAAAGCAACAAAGAAATATCTTATAAAT